GGATGAACCAGCTGTCGTTCATGTTGAGCTTGAAGTCTCGACTGCCATTATGTCCAGGCTTGGTCCACTCACCATAGTGGCTGTGCTCCCAATTGTGGTCTCGCAAGTAACATTGCAAGGCTGCCACTGGTCCTTTGGCCACTTGCCAAGAAACCCGGAGGGATATATATATATATATATGTATATATATATATTGCGAATATGCCTAGGTGAACCTAAAGAACACCACCCCTGCACCTATGGAACCCTGTCCAAACACCGGTCCTTTTCCTTGGTCTCAAGTCACCTCTCCCACCCACCTCATATATGGTCGAGCATTGAACGGCCGGCGAACTGCACGTTTCACACTCATCTTACTTTCTAGCATTCTTTTTCTTCTCTCTGTTTTGCACTTTCTCGAAGCCATGCTAGCCTATTTCTTCGATCCGAGCGTTCCTTCAGCGCAGCCGTCTCATCGTAGAGACTGTATCGCCCTTCTTCTAAACACTGGCGCAACAAAGTTCCTTCCATAGCTTTTGTTAAACTGTCCGCCAGTTGAGCTTGGGAACTAACCCACCTAAGCTGGCAGTTTTCTTTGAGACGTTCTCTAATCAAAACACACTCTAAGCAAGTTCTATATTCCTCACACGTAGGAGTAGAGGTCTTTGTCGCAACGTCAAAAACAGACTTGCAATCTGTCACTATGGAAGACTTTGGAGCGTTCTGCAGCATCAATTCGGGCTCCATGATGTTGCTGCTTGGGTCTTTCAACCATTCCCAAAAGAGTCGGCGCCACGAAAGTCTATCTAGTGATGCACTAAGTGATACTGCTTCTGCCGATAAAGTAGATCGAACTACTCGAAGACCAGGCCACAGGGCACACAATCCCCACCTTATTGCATGCCAATCGTCCATCAGTTGTAAAAATGATTGTCCCCTGCCTGGACGATGTATCTTTGTTCGTGGCAAATGAAGCATCACTAAATGCACAGAAGGTGAGCTCTTTGACAGGAATTGGGACAATGTGTAGAGAAACAGCATGGGTCTTCGCCTCATGAAGACTCCTGTTCAAAGCCAACATTTCCCCAACAGTCGCACGAGTTACTCTAGACTGTATTTCCCCTATCTTGGCTGCCAAATCAGGACGGGTATTCACTGCAGCATATTGTAATGAGCCACACAATTGTCTGACCTCCTGTCGCTCTCCTTCAGTCACCAAGGCGGAAGGTTCTGTGCGTCTGTGTTTTGGGATTTGGATCGGGGCAATTCTTTCCACATACTCTCGATGATCTAGCTCTATCGATCCATCATCCCATTGGAAGTACCGCACACCACAAAACACAAAATTTCGTTTGCGAAATGCTCCAAAGCTGTACACTGTTTGGATCCTCTGAAGCACCTCATGAAAATAGGAGTCTCCTCCCCCCAAACCATCATCCACATGAATTCCCAACAAACCACGAACCTGAGGCTTTCCTTCGGGACCTTCTGTCAACAAACTGAACACACAACTGTCAAATGGACAACAAACAAAACCATGATCCTCCAAGGTTTTCCTAAACGATTTGTACCACAAGTATGGTCCATCTATTCGTCCGTAGGCTCCACCTTGAAGTTGACATTGGTCCGTTGGGGACATCTTCAAAGCTTTTGTCAGTTCTTCTGGGGCTTGGGTTCCAAGGTTTCTCCCATCTCCCTGACCCTTCAAAAATGCAGTCGCTACGTCAAAACTGATCAATTCCCACTTACGACTCGCATTTGTCTGAACAATCAGCATCCTACCGTCCTTGGACAAAGTTGGGGCGTCATTTGGGATGTGGGATATGCCAGGGTCTGTGAATCCAAGCGCGACCAAGCGGGCCTTGGCTCTTCTTTCACCACCCGATGCTCGGGTGGTTTCCACACCAAGATCCACCGGCAACGCATGACCTCTTCTGGTCGAAGAGTCCCCTGAGCAACACGTTTCACCGTGTTGTGATCGAGCCAGGCCTTTATTTCCTTATTCTTGGCAGCTTGAAATTTCACTCTGTCTTCTGGTGACAAGTCCTCCCATCGAAGTTCTACCTTTTCCTTCTTGGCTTGAGAAACATTCAAACTGTCCCAAACTCCAAAAACAGAGTCCTCTCGTCCACCAAGGTTTTCCACAGGTCCGTCCCTAAAACAGATCTCATAGTTTAGATCACATGATTGGAAGGAAACATCGTCACCAAAACAGAACAATTCATCATCTGTCTCAACCGGAACTGGAACCTCAACACCATCTAATTCCATGTCTCTCACTGGTTCCGACGGTGTGTGCTCACTACCTACTTCTTTCACACTCTCTCCATTTTGGGTTGATGGTGGTGAGACTTCCATCTCGGGTTGTTCACTGGCATCTTCAGACGGGTCCTCCATAGCTTCATCTTGCGAGGGCAATTCATCCAAATCCAAAAATTCCCGGGGGCCTTTTCCTTCTTTCAACTTCTCGTCCATGACATCCCCCTGGTCATCCCTAGGGAGTAGATGATACTCTCGCAGTGAAGCCGGGCGGAGATGTTCGGGACTTGCTCTAATTAAACGGCCACAGTGGCTAAGCCAGACAACACGATCACCTTCACAGACAATGACCTGTGAGGGACCATACCATCGGCCTCTTTCTTTTCGACTTACCCCTTTTCTTCTCCAATACAGGACCCAATCACCTCTTTGGTACTGGGCTCTGCTGGGGCGAGTCCTGCGCAACAAAGCTCGGCGAAAACTGTTATCATTATCAGCAGCTATGAAACTCCGGCGAGCTTGTTCTCGGCGAACCAACGTCTTGAGAAACCACTGGCCTTCTGGATCATCACTCACTGCCAAGCTGTGACTGCTGACATCTTCATCTCCCGTCAACGATCCAGGAAGATGCCTTGACTTCCCCAAGAGTGCTTGTTCTGGTGTAAAGCCACCAACTCGACTGAGCGCATTCTTGGCAGCGAACGCTTGGCGCAGACAAACTCGAAACTCCTCTTCAGTCTCAATGGGTTGTTCTTTGTTCGTTCTATCCAACATGTTCTTTACAATCTGGCCATGACGTTCACATCTTCCAAGTTGCCAATGACTTTCACCTGCACTCAAAGAAACTCGAATATTCTCCCGCTGAAGAAATTGGGTCCATTCTTCGTATACATATTCACCAGCAGGATCGAGGTACAACAATTTACATGGTCCTGCCCATTGTAGCCAAACATCTGTGCACCCACATGAAACAATGTCCCTTCATCAATGAAGTGCGTGAAATGGAAATTCTTCCCTCTACCATTTTTCCACCATGCTCCATCACCCCCAACCTCATCATTAAAATCCAACTCCCTATGGATACTACCAGGTCGGGCTAGCAGAGGGGCTCCTTGGTTCTCGGCACATGTGGGACATTGATAGTCTAAGACACCTTTCAGGACCAGGTCGGTGGCTCCACGTTCCCTCAAAAACTTCTGAAAAAGTTCTGGGTTCGGGTGTCCCAAATTCTGATGTAAACGTTGGATGTCCGATCTTTCCTGGGGACTGAGCGCCATGAAAGCTGGTCCTGACACTGCAATGGGCCTTGGGGCCCATGCCTCAGTGGAAGGCATGACCAGGGTCTTCTCCTGGAGACCCTCCATCCTGTTTTCGGATGGTGCCTCCATTTCTCGAGCAATGGAAAGCGAGCCCTGATCAGCGTGTGATCCAAAAATTGTCAGCGAAATTCGAGCGGGACCACACTTCCCAATTCGTCTCGCTTGAGACTGTTTTTGCCATTCCTCAGGATCCCCAACATCAATGACTTCCCCAGAAACCCTATGGGCACACACTGTCTTTCTCAAAATAAGATCCCTCACTTCTTCTTGTCGATTGGGAATCCTGAATCTGTCTGTCCCACGGCAAGTGACCATCTGATGAACTCTCATTTCAGGGACCCTTTTCTGAACTTGTTCAACCAAGGGACCATCTAGGTAACCTTGGCTACTTCTTGCATGATCTGATCCCATGAGAGTGTCTCACCAGGCACCATGAAAGCTTCGGGACACGGTTGTTTATTCACGCATCGTCGACGTTGGGTTGGAGAGAATCCATCACATCTTGCCGGGATTCCCGAGATCTTTTCTGCCCTTCGGAAGCTTCAAAACCAGCCAAAAGTTCCATGACTATTAAGGGATCCTCCTGGGCTTCAACCGACTGTAACATGGCTTTGGCTACGGTTTTTGCAAAGATTCGTGTGTAGTGTGCTGCATATGCTGAAACTTGTTGTCGAACTCCTTTGTATGTAAAACTTCCTTCAATACGTCGATGTTCATGGTCATGTAGACACCATCTGCGATGTAGTCGGGAGTGGACATGTCTGGATGTTGTATGTACGACAGTTCTCTTCCGGAGGAAACGATCGTCCTGCGGCAAACGCAATCCCCCCACCTGACATTGGTCGAATGACGCCGGCATCGTTCCTGTAGCAATTTCATACATTTCGTTTTGTTTCAACATATCCGATCCCATTGGCTGCTCTAAATGAAAGTGTCTCCCCAAACACACTTGATGCCAATAAAGTTCATCACACAAACACAGATGTTGTCTCTCGTTTTCTCTCATCAACAAAATGTGTTTCTCGGTGTCACTATTTCGAGTCATGTTCAAACGTGAAAACCCTCCCCAATACTTACAGTCAGGCGATGCCCAAATGTGGGTGGGTTCATACATCTCAATCCAGGTCCACAATTTGCTGATGCCTTCTGGTGCGCTTAAATCCCCATCTTCGATCGTGAATCTCAAGGCCTTCCCCCCTAGACCATTAATCTGTTGGGTCAATTGGGATGATCTGCTACAATACACCTCAAGGCAATCAACAGGCCGATCGTGCCCTGAATCTGAACAATCAGAGTGCGGCTTGGAATGGTCAGCAAAAATCTTCTTCGGTAGCTTGGACAACCCGTCCTCAATGGTATTGATTAGTTCCTGACACCTTTTATGCACCTCCTCTGTGTTCCATCTCGGCGATCTCGAATTGATGATTCCCCGTCGTTCCCTTCTCAGGGAGTCTGGGGATCGTTGGACTGTGGAGCCTTTTGCTTGGCCAGTTCCCTTTGCAGGATGGCAATCTGGGCCTGAAGCTCGTTCACCTTCTGGCTGTCCTCTTCGATCACCATCTGCGTCGGGACCATGGTCTGCGAATAGTCCCTTTTGCGTGTCTCTGACGTCGGCTTCTCTGGACTGCCCAAAGGGAGTGGATCGATCGGAATCCACTCGGCCTCGGAGCCGGTTGCTGGTCCTGGAGGAACTTTGTTCGGGATTCTTCCCGAGCTCATTGCAGAATGGCGATGAGCCTGAGTCTTCGGCATGATGGGCCCTTGCAACATCTCCTGAGACAGCTTCTTCTTGGTGGCCTTGACATAGTTCTGGAAACTGAGCATGTCGACTGACGTCAATCGGGTGTTGTGCAGGATGAACTGAGCATACCCGCTGTCTTTCTTGTAGGTCTCTGCAAAGGTCTTCCCCTTGCGCTTTCCCGACTGAAATGTCTCTAGTCCCCATTGATGAAGGTTTCGAATCCCTGCCGGTACCTTGTACTGGTAGGTGTGTGGCTGATGGGTCTCCTGGACTAGAGCTGCGTCCTCTTCTCCCGACAACTCGTCGAGTTGTAACTGGGGAACGGTCTTCCGCAGTGCCATGTCTGGGAAACACACGTGAGGTCGAACCGAAGGTCGTCTCTTGATCTGTCACTCTGGCTGCCGAAAGTTCACGAGGATCACGAAATGCTGGCTGCTGCAAGTCTGTGGTTTGTAGCAAACTTGTTTGTCTTTCATCGTGGTTTGGTTGCTTCACAAATTCAACATGCACGTCCTGAGTTGTGGGCTGTCCTGTTTGTTGGTTTCAACTTCCGTGCGCAAACAATTTTCTCCCGTACCATCATGAAACCGAATGTTCAAAAGATCACGAATATTCACACAATTTAGTTTCCTCCTAACCTGTCTCAGCCTCAACACATCATCACTTCCATGGAAACGCAAACAACCCAAATGAACATCCAAAATTCCCTTCATGCCTTCAATCACAGCAATTGAAATCAGAAATGGAGTGCTTCCGGGCACGATCTCAACGCGGAGCCAGCCTTTTCCATGTCGTTTCAAGAACAGTGCCTCTTCACTATGGAGCAAACCACTGTTACCGAAGCGAAAAACGCACCGTGATGGACCACGCTGAATCTCAATGCCCTTCAAAGGCCTTTCTAACTGGGGGACCCTTTCACTACCGATGATCGTTCGGCTTGCTCCGGTGTCCAAAATCGCCTCTTCACTCGATTCTTCATGGCCGTCTTTGGCCGAAACGTGAGAGGTCTGATGAATGGAGAAAGACTGGCTCAAGCTTTTCGCTTCATGCGTCCCGGCTGGCCGTCGCACAGGACATTCATCGTGATGCCTTGCCGAATGATTGAGTGCTCTGTTCAACTTCTCTCGAAACCCCAACTCTTCTAGGCTAACAAAACACTCCTCATGGAAAATCTCACCATCTATCACCGGTTTCACCAAGACATCACCCCCCTTATCCTGAGAATAACAAGGAAAATGTTGCACAAAATGGTTCTCAATAGGTTCCTGGATCTCGAACGGCAGGTCTTCTGGGAGCTCTGGTGGATTCTGCTCGGACATCTCCTCGGCCATGGTGGCCACGTCAACTTGTCGGTCTGGTCGATCTTGTCGCTGTGGACATTCCCTCTTCCAATGGCCTGGCTTGTTGCAGATTCGACACGTCGAGTTGGCGATTCGCTCAGCCAGTGTCCGTCGAGGAGGGTAGCCACCACTACCTTTTCCTCCCTTCTTTCCACCTCCATTGAAGCCCTTTCCTTTGCTGGGAGCTCGTGATGGCCATAAGCCTCGATGCCGGGCACGTTCGCGAAGACGCGCTCGTGCATCCTGGTAGCTCATGAAGCAGCTGGAAAGGTCCCCTGACTCTTGTACTGCTTCAATGATCTGGTCTTCGAACTCCTGGATGAAGATGGCATCCTCATCGCCCTGCTCCAACATCACCTGGAAGGCCTGTTCCTCATCCACCACTTCATCAATGGCGGCGAAAACTGGTTCTGAATCATTCACGGTGTGCACGTCGTAGGTTTTGTATTTCTTCCCACCTCCACCCTGAAGGTCTTGGAAGAACTTGGATCCCAGGAGTCTCATGGAATTGCGAGTGGCCTCATAGGTCAACTCCCCTTTGTTGGTCTTCTTCTTCTCATCCCCTGTGAGCTGGGAGTGTCTGATCATCACATAGGCCCTTATCTCTTCCAGTGTGACGCCCTTGTCCTTTTGGAGGATCTCCTCAAAGCAGGCCTCATGGCGTGCTATGTAACTGTCGTTGCTTTCATCTGGCTTCTGGGTCGTCAGGAACAAGGCTCGTTCGAACTTCACGTAGCGGTCCTCATTCTGGAACCGTCCCCACTGCATCCCCAATGCCTTGAGGATCTCTTCACAACCATCCTTGGATTTGAGTCGGCTTGGGTCGATCTTGGACACCTTCTTGAATGACACTGAATCACACTGTAAAGCGGCCCTCGGGGCCAAATGTGAGATGTACTCTTCTGGCCAGATCGAATGTAGGAACATTAGCTTCTGGGCATAGTCCTCCAAATCCGACTCTCCCGCAGTAAAACTGGGTATTTGGTTCCAAGGCAGTTGACTGGTAGCAAAGGAAGATTTCCCTTCTCCCAAGCCACCATCGGCCGCTGCACTGGAGGCTCCACCTTTGCCCCCACCCATGGCTTGCAAGTCACGCCCCGTGATGCAAAGTAAAAAACCTGCCCCCTACGTTTTGGGGGCTCCGCTACCAATGCGAATATGCCTAGGTGAACCTAAAGAACACCACCCCTGCACCTATGGAACCCTGTCCAAACACCGGTCCTTTTCCTTGGTCTCAAGTCACCTCTCCCACCCACCTCATGGACTGGTGCCATATGGTCGAGCATTGAACGGCCGGCGAACTGCACGTTTCACAATATATATATATATATGATTCTTTACACACATGGTACCCTTCAAAGATCTATCATTTGGATGTGTTTGCTATACTTTGTGAAGGGGGGTACCACATATGTACTGTACATATATATATATATACAAATATCATGTACATGCCGCACTGATCACTGACAGAACCCCGTTGCAACGCATTGCAATGACAGAACCCCCATTGCAGCGGATTGCAATGGGATTCAACATTCAAGATTCAGAAAAGAATTCTTGAATCCCAGGCCAGGACCCCAGGATTCAAGAATTCTCTTCTGAAATTCTTTTCTGATATCTTGAACCTTGAGTCCTGGGACGGGATTCAAGAATTCTTTTCTGAAAGCTTGAATCTTAAATCTGGGATGGATTCAAGAATTCTTCTCTCAAATCCGAAATCTTGAAACCTGGGACGGAATTCAAGAATTTGTTTTCTGAAATCGCAGTATTATAATAAGCTCTGAAAATAATAGGCTCGGCTTCTTCTATGTGTGCTGTTTCTGTATTTTCTCCGTGCATTGTCTTTACAATCTTTGCTGCTCTTGTTCTTACAGAATTATATGGCATAGATAGATAAAAATCATGGAATGTCATAAATATAGTAATAATGATTTGCGTTTCGTCATTCTCATAACATATAGCATGTGTCTCTAATAAAAACTATTAATAAGAAAGGAAAAGAACAAAATTATCCAAGAAAAGGCATGACAATAAAACATAGAAATTTATCTGTTGGATCACGAGTGCCTATCAGAAAAAAGAAGTTACACAAAACATTTATGTGAACGTGGCTCACTATATACATATTTCCATAAGGCAAGACACGACAAATCAAATAAGCATCAACAATACCTACAAAGTTAGAACAACCCCCAAGAATAGAACGTATATATTAATTCGATTCAATATAAGTCCTTCTATTGTTTAACCTTTTTCCTTGGATAAAGAACATCGACACGTTTAATATGCCAGGCATTAAAGTTGCAAGCTGCACGTGTCAATGAAAATGAGGAAGCAACGCAAGAAGAAGCAACAGAAGAGGTGGAACAACCACCACCAGAAGAAGTAGAAGAAGTAGTGAAACCAAAAGAACCTAAACAAGAAGCACCTTGATAAGAAGTCATTGCAGCACCATTAAAGAACAATTCAAAAACAGATAAGTTAAAGGACAAAATGGTTACATGCCCAAAGTGTGTGGCAAATCATTGCGGTACACCAGTAAAACCAAAGCAAAGCAACACCAAAGCAAAAGTTCAACGTATTAAAGAAGAAGAAAGACCAGTAAATCCACATTGAATAGTCCAGCACAGCACTATCAGATGTTGCAAAATGAATAGAGAAGGCAAACGCAAGAAAAATAGAACAGTGTCTGCAAAAGAATGTACAATAGCAAACCTGAGAAAGGATAGTAATAACGTCTAGCTAGTCTATCTAGAATATTTATATTGGTTTCATTAGACTGAGGAAGAGATTTCAGAGGAACTGAATCTATTCATCTAGGATCATCTAATTAGCAACAGAGGTCTATGTTCAAAGTCAAGCAGAATGTGGACTGCCTCTCAACACTCACCCTCTCTGGAGCCTATCCATATATCTGTATATATATATATATCTACCTACCTATCTATCATATCGAGTTTGAGATGCATGCAGCAGGCGGAATAGCATATATCTATATATAGTTATATATACATAGAGAGAGAGAGATTTTAGTAAGTGAATCAACGCGTATGTACTCTATCTTTGATTGCAGAGCTCATGAGAGACATCCTGAATACCTCTAAAATTGACTGACCTACGTAGTGATGAACATTGCGAGTATGAGCCATAACTGCTTCCCAGCTGCTGAAAGAGCAGCAGGCCATGATTTGGAAACCAGGGAGTCAAAGACAGCTGCTCCTGTAGATCAAGGCTGGCACTGTGACAGGCAGTGCAAAAGACAGCGCAAACGGAGTGCACAAGCAAAGCTTGCGACAAAAACGTGTGTTATTTTTCGCTCATGTCCATCATCTCTGGTTTCTGCATCACTTCAAGTTCATGTTAGAAGCGAAAGAACAAATGCTGATACGGGGCGACTGCTATGCCTTCGCGACCAGGCCCAAAGTTGCCATCTCGTTGACCAACTGGCAACAAAAACCGTGGGCCCGAGCCACCCCATGAGCAATCACAGATCCTTACTACGCCATTGCAAGAAGCCTGGCTTTTGGTCGTCTGTAACCAAGATACGCTGGTTCATATGGAGCAAATCAGCACAAGTGCTTGGGTGAGTGTGTTCACTTGATGACCTCAGAGGATAACGGTTCGGTATAGAGTCGCCTTCGCAAACTTTAAGACTTGCTACGGGCGTGAAAACACTGGTGACAGGTGCCTTCATGTCCAGGTCGGCAGCCGCATTAGGATTGATGCGCAGGTCCATCATCACCCAAATCCTCACGCAGGTCCATGAGGCATGGAGCTGACCCAATGAACATGTCAGACTCTGAAATACCTAAGAGCGATGGCCTTCAACGCACCCCGACTCCGATCCACCCTGACTCTCCAAGTCTCCCGTTGCAAAGCGGTCCTCTCTTTACTTTGGGACAGCTCACCCTCGGAGTAGTTCTTCTCCCGTCTTCGTGACTTCCTGTCAACTTTCAGAGTATGCTCTATGACCTTGGCCTTGGATGGCTTTCGTCATTCGTTCCTTTCAGGATCCGCACCTCCAACGGTGAAGGATGTCCACGTGCTTCAGTGCCTGAGTTGCATAAACCCCGAAGCAGAATAGAGTCAGTGACTGTGCACGTGTATGTTCGTCAGAATCAGATCTACTGCTAACAAGTTGTCTCATGTACTATCAGAGTCGCTACGGTTTGGTCTGAAACTCTTCTAGTGATAACCTCAATGCATGATGAGTTTGGAAGGCTCTCCAAGCTACTGCAAAAACGAAAAAAGAATGAGATGTAAGCTTCCTCCGGAGACTGCTACACAAAAGAGGAGCTTACATCGCCTGTTGCTTCAAGCACTTCTAATCACGAGTGGCCTGATCAAAGGCTCTGCCAGAAACTTCTTCGCCACCTTCCTGTCGAAGAACCATTGGTCCATGACCGGTTCGTGTTGAAACTCTCTATTGCCAGATTCACCTGAATGTTCGGGGTAGTTGTTTACAGTAAATCCTTGCTTTTGGATTGTAGAATCAAAGCGCTGCTCGTTCGGCCGCAAAACCGTCGTTCACCGGATCTCTCACCGGATCCGTCACCTCCTGTCGTTCGTTCCCATGCCAAATCACCAGGCTTTTGATCTCCCCAGGAGTGGTACACCTGGCGCTTTGCCAGTCGCTCGACTCGTAGCATGGTAGTTTGTGTTTATCGCCGAAGCATGGCGGTCAGACACAAGGAAGTCGAAGATGTGCTTACAAATCTTTGTTGCTTCTGGCTTCAGAATCCTCCGGAAACAAACACGCTATGGCCCGTCAACTGACCGAATAGGAAACGCAGTAAATTCCCAAGAGTCAAGTATGTTACAGTATGTTGGAAAAAGTCCACTTGGCTGTTGGATCACACTAAAACTGTAAACGCACTCTTCTCAGTGGTGAAGACTTGATTCAAGACGCTGAAAGTAAACCTACATTCAGCTTTTTGAGCGTTCATCATCAGCCCTGCAGCGTCCTCGCTGGGCTATTTGCACCCAAACGAGGATGTAGTGCCATGAGGAATGCATACCTGGCGGTGGAAAACAAAACTGCAAATGCAAACCTGGACGGATCTTGAAGTAGACTGCGATCCATGATGCATTTGTGTTGAGAAATACACTAAAGGGCCAAAGCTATGTCCGGACTCCTTGTTCCTTTCTTCCAAGATACCAAGAACAGCTCTCACACACCTACAGGACTTGGCATTGCAGGAAGCCCAGATTGAATCGGATTAAATGTGATTCCGAGAATACTCCTGATTTTATGACCTTGAAGGTGGTTGTCCTCTCCACAATGATTGACACTATCGGAAGTCTTCCCCTTCCGCTTTTTCCTCCCTTTGGACTTGCCTGCTATCATCTGGTAGACTCAACATTCTTTCATAGCGCTCGAAGCTAGCTTCCTTGCATTCTTGGATGCCCGATGCTTATTCAAGTCTTGCTACAAAAAGATGAGATTTTGATTCTGAGATGAACATTATGGTAGTAGTGCCCTCACTGAACTGAAGATCTTGCAGAAAGCAAAAGAACATATTCATCTGTCACGGTCATGAAAGCACCTTACTGATTATCCAAAGCACATGGGGCCTCACATCGCTGAAATCTCAGGACTGCAAGCAAGGAAGAGCAATAACCAACAGACCCTTGAACTTGGCAGACGCAGCAGCCAGAACCCCAGCCCCCAGCTAGGGCAAGTGCTTTGATGTCTTCAAATATCACTGTGGTGTTGGCGTGCCTTGTGGGCCGGCTGAGCTGGGGCATTGCATTTGCAACTCTGCTTGTTGTCTTACAACTTTGCCTATAGCGTGGCTCCTGACTCGTGATCAAAAGTGCTACATATTCTTGTGCAGGCTAACAGCCCCCCATGTGATTCACAGCACACAAACTCCTTTGAATGGGCTTGAAACACTAAACCAGTCAATTGTTGCTCTGATGATTTGCATCAGAATGAGTACGTCTTTCAGGATGGATGGCCGGCTGGCATATGACTGCCAAAAGCCCAAACCTTGTTAAACAACACAAAGGTATCCGTTTTACAATAATCTCAAGTTGGGAAGAACCCTCATGGGGCTGCAAATATCTCTCCTGCTTAAAGTCAATACCAGTAGAATGGATGACATGTTTGAGAGAAAAAGGCTGGATTCTTGTCTCTCGCCTCATGACAAAGCGGTGGACGGTCTCGGCTTTCAGCTGCCAGTCTCTGCTCAAAACAGCAATGAGACGACCAGTTGGGCCAAGCATGTCCTCCGAAACTGAGGCACAAGTCACATGGTCTGCAAGTCCCGCAATCGAGGAGTTCTCTGGTGACAAACAGTGCACAAGTAGCGATCGCCTCCAACCTAGTAGTGATGGCCTTCAATCTAAATGTGCTTAGGATTGAATGATGTACTGGGCTGACTACCGGAAGTCTGCGTTCAACCCAACTGGTACAGATCAGTCTGGTCATTTCGGGAGAGCAAAAAGACTCAAAGACTCAAAAAGCTTCAGCAACAAAACCAGAGCTTTGGCAAAAAGGTTGCTAACTCGCTGGCGCTTCGCTGGCGCTTGCCCCGCGTTTTTCCAGTCCGAGATATGGCTCATGCTCTGCAAAGACCAACAAATCGCGAAGACGTTGGTCTTAGGCCTCGAGCTGAGCCAAGCTGCCACTCTAAAAGCCATCCGAAATAAGAACATCTAAGAACTTCATGCCCACTTAGGTCTGATTTGATTGATTAGATTACGTGTACTCTGTATGTCATGAACATACGAACAGGATCCTATGACCCTTGGCCTAGTCTCTTGATTAGAGAAAGTCTCTTGATTCCGGTATCAAGCTGCCTTCGTCCTCGCAATTGTTTTCAGACCTTTTGGACTTGGCCCGTTAGCTGGGTGTTTTCTGAGGCCCAAGCTGAACAGGAAAGTGGACCAAGCGATTGTGCAGAGCTGCTGATAACGCGCCTCAGCATAACCAAAAGCCACCAGGTCGCTTGCTCTCAGCCCATGTGGAACTTATCGTTATCGAACGTCATCTGCAAAAAGCTAAGACTCTAAGACTTCACTGGGACTCCTGCATCTTGATGGATCCCATGGGCGCAAAGTTGTCTGCTGGCCACGGAATGAGAGTGTGATAGGACCTCAGGAAGATGAAGCTTCGATGCAAATCAACCATGCATCGAAGAAGAATAAATCAAGGTCAAGGGTCAATACAACGAGTCAGGCCGTTAGTTTGCAATCCAAAAAGTTCCGCCAGTTGCGCCAGTATTGCATGGCAAGGAAGCGTAATACCAGGCTGCATTGAACCCCAAGTGGAACATGACATGTCCACTGTGTAACGTAGGGTGTCAGTTCTGGTCCACGCTTCGACCATGAGCGTTGGCTTTGCATTCCTGCCATTCCTGTTGTTTGAAAGATTTGGCACAGCTTGCAGCTGGCTCAGCCACCTCTCTCCAGTGACTCTCCTGAGCTCCAAGGCTGTTCTTCAAGCGGGCAGCTGATGGAGATGCATCCTGGCGCTTCGCTGAGAAAATGTCATGTGTCCTGTCAACATCAATCATGACCACCCTGGAGTTGATGGAAGCCACATCTTTAGAATGCCAAAAGTGGTGCTCATCTCTCCATGACCCAGCCATGTTTGACATCGAACGTTTATTGTTTGCACTATCTGCCAAGGCACACGGCGCTACATGCATCAGCAACAAGGATAAGGCCCCAGTGTTCCCAAGTCGGGAAGAATCCAAAAGGCTGGCCTCTCCATCCATACTCCAATCCTGGCTTCAGCACGCTTGCGACGCATCGATCCGTTCATTAATTAGTCACTAGGTTGGAGTACACACAATGAGAATACAAATGATAGCGAGTTCCATTTTACAGAGAACTTTTCACCCAACCCAAAACAAAATGCCCCATGCATGCTTGTCATACTTTGCCGAACATGTCGTCTTTGATGTGGAGAATATCATATATATATATTATACATAGAGCAAGAGAGAGAGAGAGAGAGATGAGAGGCCATTCAAGTTTGTGCCTCAGAATTGCCACGCTCTGCAATTGAAAGCTCTTTGCGCTTGTTGCTTTTTGGATACGGCCGTTGCAAGCACTGTAGCACTGGTATGTAGTTGTGTCAAGAAACATGTTGTGTTGAGTACTTCTTCAATCTCACAGCTTTCTATGGGCAAGCTCATGAAAAGCTACGGAGGCACCAACCGAAGTTGCGCATAGCCTCTCCATCTTCCGCTGGCCCTTCTCGCAAAGTGCAAATGACCTCGTGAGGTTGGTGAGACTGATTGTACGACGTTTGCTTATATCAAAGGTGCGTCTTCACAACACAAAGCAACTGTGGAATATACAAAATGACATGAAATTACTTGTTTTTGCATGTTATTGTATGATTGCCTCATCTATGGGGGTCCAACTGCACTCCAGTAAAGGCCCCTTGGATGACCTTTTTCTCTACAAACAGGTGGTTTCCCACTTCCCTTTGTATTTCAGGGAGTGTAACTCTCGGTCTTACATCCTGGCTTCATGTCCACGCCTGAGCATGCCGTCGGCTTGAAGCCTGACAAGACCGACAGACCGTCGCCGAAGTCACTAATCACCAAATGATTACCCAAAACTCCTCGACACCCAAAGTAGCCCACCCATGAAGACTGGGCCTCATCTGACTTGCCTTGGCAAAAAGGAAGGAAAAAAGGCAACCAAGGACGAACTGGACGAAAACGCCGTGAATCTGTGGAGGAGGAGCATGAGGGTATCAATGCAATGCAAAAACACAGGTTTTCGGATGAGGGTGTCAGTTGTCAATCCACAATGTCGTACGCAGCAAAGCCATTCTGAGCACTCCCACGAGCAGTCCCTATAGTCACCACATAGATCCCTTTCAGCTGATGCCTTCCAACACGGCAAATGTTTTCAACGACGCTTTGATGGCTCACTAGTCTCCTCCCGGATTCTCAAAAGCAATCAGTCTTGCCTTAGTGACCTAACATATATCAATGTGTTTGCTAGTAGGTTGGAGGCCATCGCTGTTAGGTTGGAGGCTATTGCTAGTAAGTTCCTTGTGCTGTTGTAGGATCAAAACTCTGCCAAACATGGCCTGGTGATGTCGATGCCATGTCGAAACACTTGGATCCTAGGGCCATGTCGGTTGCAGGAAGAGCACGCTCGCAATCTGACTGCAGGCCAATCTACAAGTTCCAATGCGCCTTACATTTGGTGTGTCTGCTATTGTAAAAGCAAGAAAACAAGTCGGTTATGTACACAAGTGGCTCCAAAAACATTCGCACAGCTTTTGACAGTGCTTTATGCGCCACTCCACATGCTGGGTGCCCCGGCATGGCTTTGGCTCGAAGGACCCACCCCAAGGGAGGAGCCAAACGTTGAAACACTTAGAGGACACGCTCAGAATGTAGTTGGATCCAGTAGGGAGAAGCTTAAAAGTGCCAACTAAGCCGCCAACTCGATCTGTCTGAATATGTGTGAACTCTCTTCTATGCTGTGATGTTGACCTAATCTTGGAGTTGAAAGGTGAGCAAATCACCTTTGTGCTCTTGGAGCGAAAACGCGGCCGCAGTCAACAATTTAAAGCACAAAGGAGATAGAAGATGGAAGGACAATAGACTCTGCCTCTGTGCCGATAGCTGGGGCACTTCGCTGCAAACGTCCTGATGGTCACCATCGTTTATATACCCAGAATAAAGCTGCCTTCCGCACCGCCTCAATTCGGCCCTCGCACCACTCTCGACCGGCCGGAGTTTCACGGACGTCGTGCTGTGTCCCAGTGTCTCACTGCTTTTCTCGGCATGAGAGGCGGCAGGGTGCCGCTTTCCTTTTGCACATCTCACTGTGCACTCGCCACCAATCCTCCACAAAGTCTGAAGCAGAAAATCTTCGAAATGAGTTAGAAGAGGCCAAGTCTTTGCAAAAAAAGCCCCCAAATGGATGCACCGCGACCAAATATCACAACAAAAGAATCATCGCCCGCAAATGTCTCAAGATCTTCGAACTCCAAAACCCTGTTTCAAATCGACTGCCGTTTCATGGCAACACAAGCACCTGAACTGAGCTTGTCAATGAATCCTTCTATCAAAGGGGACTGAATCGGGTCAACTTCATCTTCCGTTCCTCATCCCAACCACTGCGGGCAACGGGAAGATTTCGTTGCCAAGGCTTTCGAAGAAGCCCGGGCCAATGAAGGATCTGCAAAGCAGAGTGGAGGGCACCAATGACACAGTTCTGATGACACCCTGAAAGTTGCGTATGATTTGCATGAAACATAGCTTCAGAACACGCTGGGTTGAGAGCACAGCAGGTCTTCAACCTGGCTGCTCTCCAGTATAACCTTGGAAACCTACCCGTTTTACTTATCTTGTTTGAGCCGCTATGTATATAAGTCATATGCAAGGAGCGCTTCCAAAAAGATTGAAGAACATACTGTTCTGTGGGTAAAGCCAATGCCTTTGGACGGTGTCTCATCTGGCGAAAAAGCCAAGAACTCGTGTTGCTTTGAGAGTCCAAGGCTGCTACGGCCTTGGCAACACATGCACAGTAGCAGCAGTTGATTCCTCTCAATTTTTGTATACGTAATGTTCCTATACTTGTAGAATATATAGGTCCAAATGAGGATGGCGTCCAAAGGCTAGCAGCAGTAGATGGGGACCTACTGCAAACGACCAGGCTGCGGCTTCAAGGATCATCGTCACAGATCGTCACATCGTCCCCCTCTGAGACCCTGTGCCATCTGGAAGACCTGAGGATCTTCGAACCATCGCCCGGTTCAATGGCGTTCAATGGCGTTCGATCCTTTCCGTTTAGAACAAGTCTTTTGCTTCACCAAATGTGCGACAGCAGGTCTCGTTTCTCACAACTTCACAGTTTGAGTTTCACTGTGGCTGGTACATGCGGAAAGTCAGCCAAGAAGTGGTAGTCCAAGGGCAAGCGACAGTGATCCAAGTGGCTGAGTCTCTCAGGAGGAAGGATTTCCTCCGTAAAAAGCGTTCAGGTTGCGAAATTCAGATGAGTTCAGTGCTATGTCACTCATCGATCGTCTCCTCAGCGTGGACAGGTGCCCATACACTACCGGCCTGGGTCAGTCGAAAGTCTAAGAAAACCATAGAAAATTTCATGACACAATGGATGATGTCCATTTCGTGTAAACAAAAAACATTCATGACTGTTCATGTACTCTTCAAGCTTTGCGCACACATGCCGCACTGTGCTTGTGGGACCATAGGAGGCAAAAAGTTCAATTGCGAGGGCAGTGCCAAGCCCCTCTCATAGGCCACACAGCCTGCAAAAGAGTATTTTGCCCTTCAGCAGCTACCTATATAGCCTGTGTGCGTGAAGGCAGTGCAACACATTCAACAATTTTCTGTATGAAGCCAGCAAACGGCAACCTGGGAGCTCGGGCCCATGCCTAAGAAACTGCTGTCGTCCCAAGTGGCAAAGCCTCGACGATCTGTGGCCTGCAAGATCAAAAAGAGCCGCTAGTCATTCTATGTGGCTGTGGAAAGAAAACAAGGGGACCTGTTGACCTAGCTGGAAGGTCAAGCTACATGGTGGGGCTCCAAGTTTTGGCCCCCCCATTTCACCACTGCTCTCCGAGAGTGTTGAAATTAGTGGCAGCTTGTCCAGGCGAGTGATACCACTGGATGCGAACTTTTGCACTTGCATCGGCACAGCGATTTGCGTCGCTAAAGGAAGCTCAGCACCTGCCACAGGTAGAGAAGTAACAAAGTTGAGCAAAGAAGAAAAAACTCAGCAACACATGCAGAAAGGTGTCAAGTGGTGTGAAGGCATGTCAAGGCGGCATGGTTGTACCAGTTGACACCAGAAACATACCAAGGCCTGGAGAGCCAAAAAGAAGGACAAGTGCCACCTCAGATCACGATAATTCATCAGATCAAACATCGTCAAAACTTGGAAGATTGGAAGCTGAAATCCAAGTATTCTTGAGACTCCCGCATCTCTGCGTTGCTCTTGGTGGTCGTGGTTGTGGTAACCTTAGGGACAAACTCACGGTGCTTTGTTGGCAATCTAGGATTCTTGGAGTTTCTTCCCCTTGAGTCGTTTCAAGAGCATGTTTAAACAATAAAACATGTTTTTCACATGAAAAAGCTAAACTGAGTCAACTACACAACATTCTTCAACTGTGCACTCTTCACCTGCGAGCAGGAGCTCAATTGTCAATGTCCCGTAAGAGCTAACTTGCTGGAGCTGTTGGAGCTGTTGGCCACCAACCTAAGAGCGATGGCCTCCAACCTAATAGCAATGGGTTCTGCTGCTTCCACTGTGCCTTCTCGTGCTATTAGTTTCTTGTTTCACATCGACACGAACTACGGACCCAGCCTTCGCAGAATTCAGGTGGATCCTTGGCAGCACAGCGGTCATATGTTGCTGTGCAGGAAAGAGATATGGGTAATGGGTACGGTACAACAAAAACAAAAACAAATTACAATGCTCCTGCGATGTCCACCTTGAGATTTCATCCAATCAGCACAACAACCCCGAGCTCTCCACTCAGAAATTCCCCTGAAACAGTATACATCGCAGTATGTAGCTGGATATATAGTTACTTTAGAAGTCAAGTAAAAAGACACATCAACTTTGACAAGAACCTTGCCGCAGTCAAGTGAGGCAATCTAAGAAACCCTAGAAGCCCTTTGCTCGGAAATCGACCAGAAACCCTAGAAACTGCGACCCTTCTCAGCACTCTCTGTTTTGCAAGCGCAGAAGGCGTTGAACCGCCCAAGACTTTCACCTTGTTGGTCGTTGCAAAAGAACAGCAATTGTTGAGCACTAATTATGTGCTGAGTCTCCTCTTCATTGAGAAACTGCCCTTTGTCCTCTGGGCACACGCTCTTGTCACACGTCAGTGGGATCACCTGCGGCCGAGGTTGAAAAATCCCCAGGTTGTGAATGATCCAACTCTGCCTGTTTAGATCCGTTTACATCAGCCACCTTAGCCGCCTTAGTCAAGCCTTCTGGAGCCAGAATGTTTATCTTGGCAAGTCCACTCTGATGAAGCTTGACACCCTTCGTACAGCCCCAAAAATGGGCCCTACGGACACGTTTGACAGGGACCCTTCAAGGCTCAAAGCAACACATTCAAGTCAATTGGACTGTTCATCTACAGTCTACAGATTTAGGCGAGCAGTACCCACCCATACTGACTATGTGACTATGTAGGCCTGTAGGCTTACAAAAGTAGAAAATCGAAGATCAACTGAGGAAACAATATTCAATACTACTCTCTTCCACAATTCAATGTGAACTTCCACAACTTGATTGAAACGTGAAAAGGCGCATGGCGCAGCCTAACATTCCGCACCGCCGCCGAGGCGGCCGAAGCCTCTATCTTCGTATTGAAGCCCCTGGCTGGACAGTTGGCGCAACAGCTTGCATAACTTCCGGTCCTGGCCACATGATTCTCTTTGAACCAAGCCGCATGTGGATAAAACTCGGAGACTCTCTGTTGTGACGCTTCTTGTTGGGGGGGGCGCAAAAAAACACCGGTCACTCAAAAAAGGAAGAAAAACATGATGGCGAACGAGACGAGTGGCGCATCTCCCACGACTGAGTGCGACTGAGTGGCGCAGATGTGGCACATCCCACGCCGCCATTGTGATCAGGGGTGTTGCAGTCGTTTTCGTTGTTCGTGACCTGGTCGCTCGCAGTTGTTTGCACGGAAAACACACTCATTAGATGCTAGATGGATGCCTTGTTTGCCTCTTCTGATAGCAGAAACGCATGTTTTTCAGTATGCTCCCCCGCTTTCCTTTATCTGGGTTCAATAAGCTACCACCCGAAGCGCCGAGGCTTGCCACAGGCTTGTTTCCAAGCCTGATTGGTCAGCGTCCTGTTTCTTGGGCTCCTGGCAATGCCAAAGCGACATCTGCGCCAGGTTGCCTTAGGATGGAAGCCCATAGCATTGCAGTGAGGTTGGATGCAGTGCATGGCACCTCAGCTGGAGCAGGTGGAAAGTTTCAGTGCTGGAAAGTCTCGGTCCTGACCAAAGCAGCGAGCAGTTTAACAAGCAGCTTGAATAGCACCTTTGCCCAGTCCATGATGTCCTCTGCAGCTTGAAACCAACTACTTGGAGGAAACGACGGATATGGAGACCACAACCTTTGGAAACAGCAGCAATACGCTCGCTGTGATCAATGACCCAGCAAGATCCCCATATATATTATATATATATATTGTATACAATATGAAAGAATGTGTGTATATGTATATACATATTACATGTTTTTTGTTATTGTATATATAATATGCATAGCTTTCAGCTACAGGCCTTGCTTTGAAGGTCAGGCTTTGTTTTAGATGGTGCTTATTGCGTTCCACTCCCAAATGCCACATGCACTTTTTGAAAGCCAAACAAATTGTGTTCGGTCCCAAAGTGCGGCTACGGGCTTTGTGTCCCACAGGGGTGAGTGGGGTCTATATAGACCGTTAGATTGCAACCGTCAGGGAATAGATTCTGAATTGTTTGGCTCCTAAAAGCCTCTCCTACCTTTGTTCCTGTTCAGAGTGACTTGCAGCACGAACACATCAACTATCACCAAGGCACATCTATGCAAAGAAATGCCATCTGTGCGACCAAGGTACTGCGCCACTGTTCTACGTCTCCAAGTGGCTTCGGATTACCCGTGAAGAGCTCTTTGAGAGAAAACTTTCCATTGGCTTCGAATTTGAAGGTTCCTGACGCACGAGTCGACGCGGAGTCAACACCGTCTCGACACCATGTCCCTCTTGACACGTCTCGACGGTGTCCTCGTGTTTGACCCTCAAAGGTGATCTTGATGGTCTTCGCTTTGACGCAGTACATCCTCAGGTGGTGCCAGGTGTCAATATCTGGATTGACCATGACCAGGTCTATCCTCTGCCTAGGCGTTTTCCTTCTTGATTGTCTAGATTGCCTGTCCTGTAACAACAGGGTCAACACAAAGAAGAACCTCTCGCTGGCCAAGCGAAGCTCAGAAGACGTGGCAACAATGTGTTCATGCACCAGGAAGCTTGGTCTTCTTGTCGTCGCCACTGGAATACTCATCGCATTTATTCCAACCATCCCAAGCATACTTCATCACCTGCGGTCCGAACACGGCCGTCTAATGGCAAAACCGTTTTGCTCATACAGAACTGCCCCTGGATATTCTTGGATATGGCGATGGTGAAAGGTCTTGGATTTGATGCGTGGTGGGATGATTCGTACTTTGAATCTTACAGTAACTACAGGGCTGAACTGAGTCAAGTCAACGGGGCTCTTTCAGTGTCAACTAATTCATCTTTTGCTTGCAAATTGCTGAATTTCCGGCCTACTCAACAAGCTCTTTACCCAGATCACGGTAGACGGCTAGGAGGCCCTTGGCTACATGGCAGGCCTGGGTGTTCTTGACATAGACCGCCAATTGGAATTTCGAGGACAATTCGGACTCGGAGCTCATGGAGCTTATGATGTCATCTGAGCTGTTGCCGAGGGTCACCTGAGCAGATCATCCGGGCCATGCTATATCCTCCCTTCCATCTTAAACTTGCGCATCTGGCAGAATTGTGCAAAACAGTAATTCCAAAATGCTCTCGTCAACTAGGTTGGAGCTTGTGCCTCCACCTTTCTGTCACAAGTATGTCGATTCTGTCCAGGACACATCCTGCACAAATCCAGAGTGCGCAAGGCCCTCGTCGTGCTTGGACGACCGAACCGGTCTTCCTCCAGCGCATAGAGCTACCAACTGCCTATTCATCTCCACCCCCCAAGAAGCGGCTACTGTAACAGATCCGTTTATTCACATAAATCCAAGCACCTTGGTTTCAAACATGACTTCAATGCAACCAAATTGTGCAAACAAAAACTGTCCCCAAAGCCAGTAGCTCAGCTATGCCATACAGCAAAGCTGTAACAAACATGAGGGCCCCTCCTTTGGCTGACGTCGCCTGTGGCTGTACCTGAGAACTTGTCAAGCCTATCCATCAACGATGGTCAATGCCAAGTCCAAGCTCCCTTTCTCTCTGTTGTGCGTTCTCTTTGCTTATCTTTTCTTTTCTTTTCCTTTCTTTTCTCTCTTCTTCTCTTCTTTTCTCTGCTCGCTCTCCCTTCTTTTTCTTCTCTTCTGAAGTCTTCTCTTCTCATCTCAACGATTCTCTTCCAGTCTGCTTGTCTGCTCGTTTCTTTTCACTTTAGTCTCCCCGCACTGGAGCTACAAGATGGACCGAGTTGCTGTTCCATCGGCTTGGATTGCAGCTGAGTGCTGACTTGCGCACAGCAGCGGCAACCCTACAAACAGGTGCCAGGCCCAGGACCTTGAAATTGCAAGGTGCACGTAGAAGCTACAAGCTACCGAAGCAACACAAAGCTTGGACTTCGTGCTTTCGCGGGTTCAACAGGATATGTGCTCAAACGGATCACCTGTCCCGTCTTTCTTTCCGTGCAGTACGCTCAAAGGCTTCTTGCCCTGCTATGCTTCAGGCATGGAGGAACTGAATCTATAGGCAACATACAGCGATTTGAGCCAATCTGCCACCAGAGTGAAAGCAGCAAGGTCTCTAGCCAAGATCAACTGACTTACTCATGTTATTTCGATCGTTTCTGTTCCTAAAAATCTAGGAAACAAATGAATAGTGCGAGTGCTTCTTGAAGGAAGCTCCCCCCTCAGGCGGGAGGAGCTTCCTTGAAGGAGTTAATAGAGCTACTATCTAGCTTACCTCTTCTCTCGGCCTACCCCCGCCCGCAGACTATTTTCCAAAAGAAAAGAAAAAGCTGGCAACACCTTGTGGACTCGTCTACAAAGCTACACCCGACCTCGAGGAGAAAAATGTCCAAGAACTGCTGAAAGGTCGGAAATGTCCCCTGCAGCGGAAAAATGTCCAAAATGGCCTGGCCTGGTTTGTTCGAAACCAAAAAAAACATCAGACTGACTGACTGCAGCGACTGATCTTCACACATCAGCCTCTTGCAACCCTCGCATGAAGTGTGCCCGTCCAGCTCATTGCCGGTCAGTCAAGCAGGTCCCGAATGCAAAACTAGTGCGACTGAGTGAGAGAGAGAGAGAGAAGAAAAAAACAAAAGGGGGGAGCCGAGTGCCTCTGCATAATGCTCCAAGCGACCACGGAATGCCTCTGTGGCCTCAACCCAAGTGCCATATGCCCGAGTTCGCGGGTGCATGAAATCACTTTCAAACAACCCCCAGAACACCTCAAGATTCTGTTCAAATGAGAACGCAAAGAGGAATTAGAATCATGCAGGCCGTGCCAGTCTGTGTAGAGCACTAAGTAGGAATAATGTGTTCGTTTGACTGCTCCGGACAGGATTGGTGTTTGGCAGGGCACGTTTCTTGTTGCTTGTAAAGTTGAGTTTAAATTAAAGTTTAAAGGCAAAAAAACAACTTTGACTTGAACAGGGGACAGCAGTGACCTAAAGTTGGCTCGACTGCTGATGATGCAAGGCAATTCCAGAGTATATAAAGCCCATCATAATATGCTCTTGGACGAAAAGCAGGGGCCTCACCTCTAACCTTTGGGATGTGAACATTTAGTGTAAAGAATTGTGCCCCTGGCAGACACAGCCCACATGTACTCAAGGAAGTGTAGATCAGGGCGCAGCGTCATGACCTTGGACCGCTGGAAGAGACGCGCTTCCATTGCAAGTCTTACGGCACGCTGCCACGGCCGCACTTCACAAAGGCATAGCCACAATAGCTGGATGTATGATGATATATGTAGAGATGTGGAGAATGGTATAGATGTACTTGGGAGTATCTGTCACATATCCTGTTGTTTTCGTCCTTTGATATGCAGGCTGAGCTCATAGCTCCCGCGTTCAATAAATATGTGCGACCTAGGTGAAGGAGTGCTGCAAAATGTGTTCAGTTCAGAATGCCAAAGTCTTCAGAAAAGAAGCAACGAAATCCTGCGATCAACTGCTTCGGTGAATGAAGTACTCGTGAGAAAGCTGAAAGCAACATCTGAGTGCTCGTTCTCGACCATTTTTTGAGCGTCTGAGATCTCGTGATCTCGGAATGTCCACCCCATGGTAGCACCGTCATCCAACTGCGAACATGTCTCCGAGACTTGAGAGTGAGATTCCTACGGTCCTACGGCAGTCCTACGGTTCAAGGAGCTGTCAGCCAAAAAGACTTTACAGTAACTCTATATAAGCTCTCAACGAGTTGGTTGCTCAGAGCCCTGCTTCCATCATGACGAGAGATGTCAAGCTGCTCCTGTAGCTCTGGCTTCACAAACTTTACAAATGTCTAGACATTGAACCCCAAAGCATAAAATCTTACCGTACTCCTTATTTTGGGTAAACAGTAGCCGAAAGTTTTGTTGCTGTAAGTCTTCGCTTGCAAAATAATACAGTAAGTCTTGCAACCCCAGAGTCCTGGTGCATCTCATACCCTGATGCGAAGGGCACTGGCCCCAGATCAAAAAGTTCCTCAGAATACTAGTGTGAACATCTGGAAACCTTTTTTTGGTGGAAACGGTGCATTATACACCTGAAAATGCTACCAGAATCTACCATTACCAGACCAAATGTCAAGATGCGAAATGGATATTCCATGACATTCCTGAATCATCCTGAGTCTCAGCAGAACGTGTCTCAATATGTCACACCCAACTCCCTTCGCCAAGCGTCGTCGCAGTTCTCCAGCACTAGGGTGTCGGCCTCACGATCGTCGCTTTCGTGTCTTTGGTGACGCCTCTGAAATGCCTCTGTCTTCGGCGCGCAGCGCTGGGGCAGCAGCATCCAAGACAACCACCTCAACTTTGGCCAAAGGCGCTGTGGTTTGAGGCTTTTTTCAGCATTCAAGACTGGGCATAGTTCAAATCCTGATTGCAGCCAACAGTGCAAACGCATGCAAAGGCTGGGACAAGAGTAAAAAGGGCAACTATGTGAGTGTCGTTCCTACAAATGGCCTATGGCTATGGGCCCCCACGCGATCAAAAGGGAGGCTCCAGGCTGCCAGTTGCGGGAAGACAGGTTCGAGGCCACGCTCTTCAAACCACGCATCAGAGCCATGCCTGTCAAGGGCGGGATCCGAGTCACAGAAAGACCAGGCACCCTAATGCACCATATACCTCTTGCAGCAGCCACTCTGTGAAAGGTTAGCAACCAAACAAAAACATCTCAGGAAGGGAAGTTCGCATGGTCGCTGAGATCTCACGATACGTCACATTGCCAGCGTCAGCCTAGACTTCGGCAAGACTGGTGGTCGTGTCCTTGGTGCAACATGTTGGGCTCCAGATACCACCCAAAGACCTAGGGGCCCAACAATGTGGTAAAGACAGCATACAGATAGATCTCCACAACTCTTACTTTGTTTCTACAGTGCTCCAGCTAACAAGAAGCTACTAGGAACAAGTGCATCGCTTCTAGTAACAAGTG